GCATTCTGCAGCTAAATTCGGTAACTAAAACTACAGCCAATAGCTATATCATTGCGTTTGTTTTTTGGCATCGAGTCAATTTTTTATCCTATCTATATCTTAAAAATTAAGAGCTTTAGACTTTGGGTTTGTACAACAATTTAGGTACTTTGGTAAGATAAAATTAACAGTAATTCTTGTTTTTTTTTGTTAGTTTTGCTTACTTAATATGCGTGTATTCTAAATTTAGTAGTGCGAGTATGAGGTTTCTACGTCAGCTTTTCTCTGGAGCAAACCTAAGAAGTAATGTTTTTTTTGTTAAAACCACTTTAGAAGCTATTTAAATTGTTTTAAAACTGCTAATTTAGGTAAAAGGAACTGTCATAACATGTATAAGCCATTTGGAAAAATTATTATGTGACTAAGTAAGCTAGCTAAACCATTTAAACCATTTTAGACCTGCTAAAATAGTTTAATTATCAAGTAGGTCTATTAATATAAAAAATGATTGATTGTTGGCTGTTTAGAGTTGCTAACAAGGGACTAAAAACCGCTTAAACTGTTTTAGACTCGCTAAAATGAGTTTAGAATTGCTAAAGTGGGCTCAAAAATCGCCAAATCTGGTCTATAATACCAAAAAATAGCCTAGAATCACTTAAAGCAGTGTAAAAATTGTTACCTTTATCTCAAAAGCGCTGATACATAGGCAAAGCATGAGTTTTGAGGTTCTAAAACCTGATAAAACCGTTTTAGAAAGGGTATAACCGGTTAAAATTACTAAAATAGCTCCAGATCTATTTTGTTAAAACCAATCCAGAATGTGTTAAAACCAATCCAGAATATCAAAAAATTCCCAGAAACTATTTAAAGAAGTTTAAAAACAGAGTAGATTTGCTAAAATTCCTTTGAAGTTACTATAGAAAGAGATTAAACATATTTAAACCGCCGTAGATCTGCTAACATTAGCTGGACATGTGCTTAAGTCGATCTAAAATACTTGAGTGTAGTCTAAATCAGTTATTAAAAAACGATTGCTCAACTCTAGAACTGCTAAAACACATGTAAAACAGTTAAATTTTTTCCAAAAACTGTCAAAATTAGCGAAAATTGAGTTTGTCTCCAATTAATGACATAGAACCCCCTTGCTCTACCTACTATTTTTTTTCATAGATAGATAAGCGTCTTTGGAAATATAAAAAGAAGTGCTAAGTTTCGTGAAAAAATATATATAAGTATATTTTAATTCGCTTTTATTCGTTTAGTAATAGAAATTACCTATTTTTTGCATAAAAAAATTACGAAATTTTTTCTAATAGTGTTTTTTCACGTATAAAAATAGCTGATTATAAATAAGACTAAAATAAACTGAAAGATTACTTACTTATTTTCTCCTCACTGATCTATATCGTTTGCACAGTCGCTCGAAAATGCAAAAGAATCGTTAGTAACATTAAAATATACAGGGTGGTAAAAATAATAGGTCTTTCGTATTGGCTTATATAGAGAGGTTGATAATATTAATTAATTAATAATATAATAATCTTAAATATACAATATTATATGCCCTTAATTATTAACGCCTTATATCCCGCCACCTTAATACTAGTGTACCTTAAACATTAAAAAACAATATTTTCAAGAAAAATCTGTTATTTTTGGTTCACTCTGTATATATGCTCAATCACTCGGCCTAATAATGTGTTAAAAACGGTATATAACCCGCCGGTTTGTACTTAGGACGTTTAACTTACACAAGCATGTTTTTGTTCTCTATCGCATGCATTCGGAAATATATATTTTTCTTTTTTCTCTCTACAGGGTGTAACAAAATAGTTAGCAACAAATGTGCCTTTTTAGTGAGTAATCAATTTTTTTATGCAGAATCAAATCAGGGTGTCCAATAATAAAAAAAAAGAATTTTGATATGTCATGTAACAACTAACATGGCGGCGAATTAAAAAAATCGTTTTTTATATGCAAAAAGTGGAGTTAGACGTTAAAATATAAAAAAAAAATGTTAAAGGAAAAAATTGTTGGACATTTGATTGTACTTCTATGTGCCTAATTTCATAAATATACAAGGACTATCAAAAAATATAAAGCTTTTGAAGGCGTTTGTTTTTAAATTTTTTTTTATAAAACTGTCTACATACCAGTTTTACCGAAAAATATCGTTTTTTTTTCAAAAAAAATATTTCTTTAAGTTTCTGTTTATTAAAAGTTAAATTTAATTATGAATAACTTTTCTTTTTGATATTCTACGAAATTTTTTGACACCTAACCAGACTTTTTGCATGCCTAAATAGGATTTTTTTACTTTGCAATCATGACAGTTATCGCATGACATATTTCAAAATCCGTCCTTTTGTCATTGAGCATGTTAAAATGATTCGGCATAAAGATTTTTTTTTCGATAACTCAATAATATTTATCTCCCACTTGTTGGAAACTTTTTGCACACCCTGTACATGATAATTATCCATACAACAAGCCTTGATTGGCGATAATATAACTTATAAACAAATAAAAAATAATATAACACACCTTATAACCATATGGAAAATGACATTGACAGACGATAGATGCATTTATTTTTTTCGAAAAAATCATTCAAAAATAATTCAAATTTCGAAAATTAACAATTCTTGGTTATGTACAGTGCGTCCGAATTTTTTTTTTCATTTTTTAATGTAGATATTTGAAAATTATTTAGAATACATTTACTTATTTTTTAAAAACCAATAAACGATTTTTTGCACTTATTTGTTAAGACCCTGTATACACAATCTAATAAGTTGCACAAAACTATAAAGAATGATTGTTTATATCAATAATTCTCTTTGGTCATACTGTATATACCCAAAAAAATTAAAAATTGTAAATTTTATTTTTAATATTAGTTTAATGCTAATAAATTTGACATTTATGACATCTATCGTCCACTACCCTTTATAGAATATTCACAATAATAACAAGAAACATTAATATATTTTTATTTTCTTAAAACCAAGATCTCGTCTTTTGTCCTAACACTTAGACAGATCTATTTTAGTTTAAAAATATTTTATATGTAGTGTCAAAATACACGGTTAGGGGTTAAAAATCTAAGAGCTAGAAGAAGAACATGGGCGGACCAATCAGAATCATGTGAAAAGCTTTAAAATTTTAGTTTTATTAATCCTAAGTTTGAAAAGCGTTTTATAAAATATTTTGTTCGAAAAAGCGCGTGTAAAAGTTTGATGAGTGGTGCAAATATACTTGACAGATACATTGTTCGGTCTAACTAAAAATACTGAGATTCTTCAGATTATTTAAAAAAAAATGAAACTTTTATATTTGTTTTGTTTGTTCCATCGAAAATGTATCTGAAAGTATTGTTAAAATCGTTGAAGTTCTGTGTAGTCCACCCCAACAAATAACAAATATATACAAATTTCTTAAAATTATACAATGAATAATATATTTGTATACGTATAGTCAGTAGACAAATTCAAAACAAAAATAAAAACAAATAAAACATCAGAAACAGTTTTTTTGTGTGATAAAACTACTCTGGTAATTAATACGGAATATACAGGGTGTTTCAGAAAGCTCTGTATAAAATCTAACGTGTTTCTCAAATAAAATAACCTAAATTAAACGTAGCATATTTTTTATGCCACCGTGTATGCTAGTTATTAATTTTGTGAACTGTTGCAGTGGCATATATATATATATATATATATATATATATATATATATATATATATATTTTTTTTTTTTATTAATAATTATGTTAATTAATTTTCCATATAGTCCATATAGGAATATAATGTAGAAATCTTCTAGGAGCACCCTGTATATAACGAACCACAAAGATAAAATAGAACTTAATTAAAATAAGAAAGAAATAGTATTTATTTTGAAGAGATGATTCATTGCCAATATTATACCCAACTGAAATATTATAGAGTGGTTGTAACCACAAAAAAATTACTAAATATATTATATAAAAAAATCTACTTAAAATTCTATATAATATTGACTATAGATTATCTCTTGAAAATTAATAGAAACATATACCGTATGATCGAAACAAAACGGCGTCCTGTTGGCTTGGAGGTGACGATCGATGACATTCCATATAAAATGACAGCAATCTTCACGGCATAGCCATCGCCGGTACCGTTTTTTGTTTCGGTCATATCATATATAAAAAAATACCAGGGCTAGCCATCTCAGCTTTTTATACATGCTAAGTTGAGTGCCCGGGCTGGTCCTTAATAATAATATATGAGGATAATTGTATCCTATTAAGATACCCTGTAATATATCATATGCAATTTATTGAAAAGTAATATATGTGATAACCAATAGTGCTTGTGTTTGGTGGAGATAGAAGAAGGGGTTAAGGTGCCATCTTGTCGACCACTACATGAACCAACCTTACTTTTGTGTTTCAATGTCAACATTTTTAGTTTTAGTGTTAAATATCAGGTAAACTCCATAATCCAAACAAGCAAAAGACATCATATGTACCTTGACACTTTTAAATAAGTAAAAAAGAAATGGGTGTATAAAACTGACAACATTGTTGAATTTCGTGTGCATTTCTGTCTTTTCGGGTTACAAGTGGCGTGTTTTTTTAAAAGAGTATATTACATATCGAGGAGGGAAGTGTTTCATTACTGTCGAGAGATTAACTAAATCTCGAGACAATAATGAAAACTTTTCTCCGATATTTGTATATTATTTTATTTACAACTACACCATTAATTAAAAAATAGGGACAGTATTTTATTTTGAAAAAAAAAAAAATATGCGAAAATTTGTCGTTTTCTGTTTTGGCATTTCCATATCTATAGTTACCGGTACCAGTGGTTGTTATGGCGCAAACCTTCAACAGCAAAACAAACAACTAAGTGACAATTTTGAATTTCTCGTTAAGAAGCTGCCAGTTTACTTCCAGATAAAAGTAGGGGACAATATGAAATAGCATTGAAAGTATACGAAAAATGATGTCCGAAATAAATGCTAAGAATATTGCTTCGGAGATAGTCTTGATGGCATATTTTACCGACATGGCAAGGCGGAAAAAGCCATCTACTCTTTGAGGTACGTACAACATGATACAGACAATGCTAGAATTAAGGGAAAAGACTGACATATCAAAATCTCACAAACTGGTCGCTTTTTTAAAACGCCAAGATGTAGGTTTTAAGCCAAAGAAGTCTAGCATTTTTATCATCAACAAATAAATGTATTAAAATATTCAATTATTATTGTATCTCCTTGTTTATTTTTGTTGATGTTAGATAAGTATTTAATAAAGATATTACAAGATTTTAAATGAGTCGAGAAATACGATAAACCGAGTGAGGGAAATGGGGATGAAGGAAATGGGTGAGGGAAATGGAAGAGGGAAAAAATGTAGATAATTTGACACTTTCAAATTTTTTAAAAGTCAGTAATGTCAGTATTATATATGTGGTTGTAAATAAAATAATTTTAATTTATCTCTATTATAGTAATATTATATGGGAATTCAAGATCGTATAGCTATACATTTATGTTTTTATATTTTTTTTGTAATAATGATTTGTAGTAACTGATTGTATTTTTGAAATGTTTGTATAAGTAAGTAATGTAATTTAAAATATTTATAGCACGCCCTTGAATTGCTGTGTCGACATGAATTCCCACTTTACGGATGCCCCATAGCTACAGTATGGATCGAGGTACTCTAAATAGTTTTGACTTCTTTGTTAAATGCCTATGGTTGTGATGCTTTTAGAAGTTCTTTTAACTATCATGTTTGGATTAAACAAGTTGTCTTTTGAATCTACATTTAATATACCTAAAATTAGAAGCATTTAAGCAAAAATAAAACAGTTTAAGAATCGATTACCTTCAAAGATAGTGTTCTTGTAGTGGTCGCTTGCTCGTGTGACACGAACGAAAGTCGCGAACACCAAACATATACAACAACAAGTGTTAACCGCTCAGCGGGTGCCAAGAAGTACTCAATATATATATCATTATCAATATACATAATATAGAAGTGAATGTACAAGTGCAGGTTGGGTCGTGATGGCTTGGCGATCACAGCTGCAGCTGCCGATGAGGACCGGGTGGGGGCGGTTCTAGGTGGGGCGCCACAGGCAGCTCAGTGGTAGCCGTTGGTAAAAGCTGCCGGAATCAGCGGGCCCTGGAACAACCAAAAATACACTTCCTTATTTCAACCAAAGGAGATCAGTATCAACTGATAAAAATATAAGCCCTATCTCTACTAAATTATCATCCAATATCTCATTATTTTGATCGGTTGTTTAAAGTACAGGAGTCAACGATAGAGTAAAGTCCATTATCTCATTTGTTTCGAGGTTTAAAAACAATTAAATATAAAAGTTAAAGGGAAGGTTTGGACACACATTTTAAAATTATTACAGAGTATACAGAGCTTCAAAAAAGTATGGCGGATATAACATAAGTTTTTTTGGCCTCAAGGGCTTATGCTCAAAGATATCCAAATAGGAATCTTCCTGATAAGCGTTCCTTTGAAAAACTAGTTGTCCTATTTCGCAGAGCTGGTAGTGTGGTTTTTAAAAAACCTATTAGGCAGAAATCCTGTCGTTGGAAGTGAAGAAAATGAATCTGCCGTAACTGACCCATTCATAGAAAATCCATATATCTACAAGCCATCGTAAAATAAATAAATAAAGTACTTTTTCGTTTTTCTTGATAGAATAATAAATACATATTTAGTAAATTTTATTTATTAAACTATTGTAGGTAAATTAAATAAAAGTAAACTAATATAAATGTAAATATGTCCTAAACTAATTTCGATTTTGAAAACAGCTACTGTCACTAGAAACTCGTCTATGACGACACTAGCCCTCTTGGTTGCCATCCTATTGGAAAATTGCTCTTTATTCAAAATCTGAGCTAGATAGTTATAGAAAACCCTAATATAGTTTGAAAGAGCATTTGAATCTGCTTCGATATATTTTAAAAAATACAGGATGTTGTATTTGAAATAACGAGGTTTTTTGATATTGGATTGATAATCTTTTTTATTATAGCATGCATTTTTAAAAATCTTTATATATCTCAAAAACCAAAGCTTGTAAACATATTTAACCCTTATAATATATGACTTATAATATATGCCTTATGTGTCCAAGGATCCAAACATGATATAAAATATCGGGCGTTCCATAAGAAAAAAATATAACTTTGGTGTGGATCTTAGTTTTGACACACTGTGTATATTTCAAAATAATTTTAAATTGTGTACATTGCCTCCCGATCCCGATATATATATATATATATATATATATATATATATATATATATATACACATAAATATTTTGTTTCTACACCTTTCCGTTTTCGTATAATCAACCGAGGCGAATGAGGTTGAGGACCAAACCAAATCACACCCTGTATATTTATAGTTGATTTATTTTTGCTTCCTAAAATATTTTGATTAAAAGAAAATATTTAAAAGTGTGCAACGCTGTGCCGGTCAAGCTTAATCAAGTGACTAAAAGTTTATTTGAAATGAACTATATTTGTATAAGCCTATACAAATAAATAATGCTTATGTCTACCTTATTGAATAATTTCCTGACATTCTGTAAGCATATCCGCCGTAACCGGAAGACGCTTTCTACAACACAGACATAAAGGCTAACATTGTAGAACGGCGATCTGTACAAGCCGACGGTAAAGCCCGATTATTGGTTAATTAGTTCCCTGTAACGATTATGTAGATCGGCGCTAATGTGTGTTTACGAGCGTCTTTTTCCGAACAGATATTAAATTTACGTTCTTTTTATGGCGCTTTAACGTCCATCGAGGATAAAAACTTTCCCTCGGAGTGGAAAAAGGCGCAGCTTTCCAAGTTTTTCCGTTCGGCGACGAATTCAAATTAGTTTGCTTAATTTTACATTGTGATCACTTTTCTTTGAGAGGGCGACTGTAAAGTCTTCAATGTTTTTAATAGAAAAAGGTGGAATGGATTATATAGTGGAAGTGATTTGAAAAGAGATGAAGAACTTCTGCATCGATATTAGTACCTTTAATTAAAGTAAAGTCGTTTTAAGATTCTAAAACGTTTTGGTTACTTTTGAACATAGGTAAGAAGAAATTGAAATCTTCTTTGAAAAGTGAAGAAGAAATTGAAATCTTGAAGTCTCAATTTGACTATAGGCTTGGGGAATTTCAGTTGATTTTAACAAATTCCGACTGCTGCGCTTCAACGGCAAAAATCTCAAATTTTCAGTACCTAATTCACGCCGCCGCCGCGTCGCTGTCCGTTGATCGCATTCAAATAATATTGAAATCGTGGTTTTGTCATAATATTTAAGTATATTAGTTTTTTTGTTAGTGCAGTTATTGAGATTATAAAACCCTCAGGTACGGGGTTTGTGTGATGTAATGCTGTTTCGAGTCGTAAAAAATAAGTGAAAAAGAATTCGAACTAGGCGGCATGTTATGTTGTGACAATTCCAAATGTTAATAAAACTGCCGAAAAAATGTTACGCGTAAAGGAAAGCGTAATTAAGGTGTTGTTGTAATAAACAACATTAAAAACAAACAACTAATCACGGCGCGTCTCGATCAATTTCAGGAAACGTGGGAACTAATCTTTATATAACTCAGGCTTATATTTATCGTACTATTTTGTGAAATAGCACAAAGCAATCAAAGTCAAACGATGTGGTGGCTTCAGAAAAATAAGTAAACACGGAAAAACTGATATGAAAACCTATGGTAGATTAAATTGGCTATTCCTCGTACGTTACACAAGAATATTTAGTTTTAATACTATTAATTACAATATCGTAAAAAAATATAAAACAGTGACTAACTAGTGGTCTATCATTTATCTCTATTATTTTTTCTATCTATCTCTATTATTATTTTTTTTATAATCCACGGTATTGCGCCTCATGGACAAAATATACACAAAATTATTTGAAAATTGCCTAATTATTTCTTATTTCTGGTTATGGTAAAGTAACATAATTATACTGTAGTCTGTAGCAAAGTTTAGTTTACGAATTTGGTTTTGTTTTCCTAGTTTTAATTGCCTAAATCTCTGCATAATAAATACTAGTTGAATGGATTTATATCAAACCATGCTGGGTGCTAATAAAAATATCGTTTACATATTTCTCTTAAGAATAAGGCACATTGTTTTTAGTTCCGTGGACTATACTTTTGTTTAACCGTAAACAAACATATCATACACATTTTTATATACTAATTCATTATAATAAAATTAAATCATAAAAATATTGTAAGTATATTCCTGCAGTTTAAGTGAAAAATTTCGTTCCTAAATATCTACTATACATATAATAAGCGCGTATTCAAATATTAATTATGTGGAATATATATTAATATAACATAAAACGAAATATCATCGTAACAACAGCTATTTTAGAAACGTCTTGGTTTACTTGTTTCACTGAGATTTATGAAAAAAAGTCCTTTACCTCGGATACAGATACCGGCACGTAAAACAAAATTGAACGAGGCAACAAAAAACGCCAATAAATCCCCCCACGCCCGCCTCACGAGTAGTTTTCAGGCACTTTTAAGAATCGAAAGTAGGTCGAGGCAAACCGAAGTGGGTCAAGACAACTGGAAATAAACCGAAATACGACAAAGTTGGACGATGAAGAGCGACCTTGACTTGTTTCGAAGAGCTTTCCGCATTGTGCAGAGGCTGTTTAACAAATGAAGCAATGGACCTACTAGACCCCTTCTACAACTATCTTATAGAAGTAATAAAAAGAGTGTAAGTTGGTGCTTACTTTGAGACTCACCGGACTGTAGTTGAGCGGCGCCCGACTGACCGCGATGGCCGGGAAGGTGGAGGGCTGCGGGCTGGCCGCCTGCACGTAGCCGACGCCGCTGTCTTGGGGCCCGCCAGGCGCCCCGCCGCCGCTGTACATGTCGAGGGCGGGACCGGGGCTGGAGGCGGCGGGGAAGGGGGCGCCGCGCGTGCCCTGCGCCACGGCGTGCGGGGAGGCTGGCGGGCCGAAGCCCTGGGCCGCCGCGGCCGCCTGGTAGTTGTTCATCACTGCAAAAGAGACAAGAGAACAAATTGTTAAATAATATAAAAAGGCTAATAAACAATATGGGACATGTTCAAAAACCCTAAGAGTATATTACGTTGTACTGTTCTGGTCGCTCTTATGGGTTAGGTAATCCGGGGGTGTGGCCGAAGGAAATATATATATTATATTTCAGAATTCTCCCGTAAGGCTGAGCCCGATTCTGTCGTGTTAAGCCATACCCAAGATTCCAAACACACGTGCTTTGATTAAGGCTTGATTAAGGTTTGCAGAGCTTCAGCATTTGCCATAAAATAGCGAGCAATTTGTTACAAAACGTATGTGTATTTTAACGGAATTTTTAAGTCTTTATTTTCGTACATTTAATCCAAACATAAGAAATATTTTGTTGATGTGTGACCATCAAAATCTTAAAAATAAAGAAGTTGTCTAAAAATGTGCTACAATACGGATATAGTATAATCCTTTATCTTTAATTTTCTTCTTTATTTGTGTAAAAATACCTAACCAGTTTTACAAAAAACGTTAAATGCCGAATGTTTATTTTGCTACTTTTTCGGGCTAGTGAAATAGACTCTTAAAAGAACTCCACAAATTAAAAGTATGAAAACCTCTGAAATATGTTCCATATTTTCAAAAAACAGGATATGTTATGTAAAATCGTTTTTTAAACCGACTTTTATTCAGTGAAATATACCTATATTTATGTTAAGGGGTAACTTAATCACTTTAAACATTATTAGGCAATTTACCTTTGATATTTTTTTCTTTAAATAATTAAGTATCCAATAAATAATAGTATCCAATAAATACTAATACTATAAATAAATACTATATACTAATAAATATATACTATATACTAATAAATACTATTATTTTTTCTAAATTATATTATTTTCTCTAAATTATATTTTTATATTTTCTATTTTATGACATAAAAATGACATATGCCTAAAAGAAAGACAGACGATTGGTCAATCAGTGTCAACGATAAAGATAATCAGAGAGAGTTTTCAGTATCAGAGATGGTTTTATAGAAGTTAGTTCTCCATCTCCGACATCAGTCATATCAGATGGGGTGTTCTGATGTTTCACCGTTTTCCTCATAGAATCTGCATTCTCCGTGCAGAAGATTAAACTTCCCTCAGATGATTGAACTTAGCTTCAATCTTCTGAGGTGTTCATTGAGGAGACCTGTTAAAAATCCCGTGACAATCCGAAGATTCTTCTTACTTAATCAAGGAAAATCTTTGATTTTTCTTGGCCGTTAGTTCTGAGAAATTTCTTCTAGAGTCTTAAACCTTTAGAGGATTCTCATTCAAGAATACGGATGAAGTCTTGCAGCTCCAGTTAGTGGAGTGTTCGCTCCTTTTATAACTAGATCGTTTGCTTGTTCATTGCCTTCTATCCCTTGGTCGGCTGGTACTAAGAAGTAAGGGGACTCTTTGCCTAATTTGTTCTGCTTCTCTAAGCATTCGTTGATTAACTTCAGATTGATGGTTACAGAGTTGATCGTTCTTAAGGCTGCTTGACTATCGGACCAAATGGCTATTTGTTTTTTTCCAATAGTTCCTATCAAAGATAAGTCGTACGCATGATTCGATAGCTATTTACTATAGTATAGTTTATGTAATAAAAAATTAGTTCTAATATACGGGGTTTCTATTTACGCGATGTTTTCAAAGGACGTAAAACGAGTTGCTCCTCCATTTTTATTCATTAAAAACCTTCGATTATCGATCTTAACCTCTCATCACCAAAACGAGGTCACGTCGCGTAGGCTTTTCATTCAACTGGCACAGTTCAACACGCACGAATAATCCAATCGCATCCGGTCCTTTGTATGACCACCGGGCAAAAAGCGTCCAAAAAAATGATAGCCATCGTTACAAATGACCAGGAAGCGAGTAGCTAGGTACACTCTCGATGTGTTTTCCTCGGTCTTTATTTCTCGCACGATGAAGTAGTCTCGAACCACTTTGTTCGGTGTCATTCTCAGTAAAAACAAACTGTGTGCGCGCCATTAAATCCATTTTTAGAGCTCCGGATTGTCGTAAATCATGACAGAATGTTGGAGAGAGATTGCGGGAGAGTGAGAGAGAGGGACACATTTAAATAAAAACCTCTAGTCCGGCAGCAGCGACAAAATTACATTTATTAAATAAATTTGATTTTTTTGATTTTTTGATTTTGATTTGATTTTTTGCCTCATTCTGAAATTCGAAATTAGTGGAATAAATTAGTAGTTTCAATTATACTTTATACTTTTTTTCCATAGCAACTGGAAAACTGGACTTCCTTAAAATTGCCTTATATCTATCAAAAATAGTAGATAAAACAGTATTTTAACCGCAAGGGTAGATTAAATGCAAAAAAACAGTGCAAAGAAATTTCACGACATCTTCTGGGTTTAAAATTTTTGACTTTTTCGGTTTGTAACCGCTACATGACTGCTTCCAGAAAGCTATGAGCTTGCTATATCTACAAAGTTTAGATGTTACTATACTAATACGGAAATTTAAACGATATAGCTTATCCTTAACCTTGAAATATCAATGTTTTCATTGACCAGTAATGTACTTTTTAGCATTGAATAGTACGACCATAAACTGGACGGCTGCATTTTCTTTGATTTTTCAGAAAAATATGTGAAACATACTTTTATGTTTTCACTTGATCTTTCCTCTCGCACGTTTTTTAATTGCTTCCATTTTTGAAAATTTTTGTATTCCTTTTAGTTATTCGGGATTTAAATGGAAGTAGTTTGGATTATGGCGTTTGTCGCCTCAGCCGCAATATCTGTTGGTAATTTACTTATTTCGTTTTGAGCCATTTCTGGCTCCAATTCAATCAGCAATCGACACGAAAGAGAATTAAAAAATATTGACTCAAAACTGACAACTAAAGATACAGCTTTATTTATTTGTCAAATTACATAGAAACCAACGCCAACCTAGCACAATATTTTTTCTACTCGTAATAAATTCCTTGAAATAATAATTTCTGAATATTTTTGAAACGTAACTCGCTATGGAAATTACAATCTTTTCGGTCGACGATAAAATACCATTTTATCGTCTTGTATAAAAAAAATAACTATTAGTTGACGATCATTTACAATGTCTAAAAAATACAACTAAAATTAATAGAATATCCTAGGAACAACTTGCAGTAGTCAGTTGTATCCATAGGGTCTAGTATTAACTAATAATAAGTAAAGTCTAATATTAGCTTAAACAAAAAAAACTTTTCATTTCTAACCATAATTTCTCTTCACGCATGTGTATAATTAGTGGAAAAAGTTAAAAGTGAATTTATTAAAAAAACCTTTTCTACTAATTGAAAATTACTACCACTAATTTTTAGATTCTGAATAATGACAATGACATTAGAGAAACTAACTTTTACGTTAATTGAAACCACTAATTTATTCCACTAATTCCGAGATTCTGAATAAAAATTAAAGAAAAATACTTTTGGAATTTGTATTTTTTTAGACCTTTTACTGGTCCTGTTTCTTGTTTTTTTTTATATTTGTCCTAAGGTTTTACTTGATAATTATAAATACAAAAAATACCTAAATTGGCTAGTTTATTCTTTTATCTGGAGCCATGAAATCGACGATTTTGATTTATGTCACTAGAAAATTGGAAAATTTATTTTGTAGGATAAAGTTATCATGCTTTTTAGGACTCCACTAACTGGACCAGAACCGTTCTGCTTCCTAAGTGTTGATTTAAGTATGAATAATCTTCGGATTGTCACGGGGTTTTTAACAGGACACTGTCTCCTAAATGAACAATTCCTTAGAGCGAAGCTAAGAAACAACGGCCAATGCAGATTCTGTGGGGAAAATGAGGAAACACCAGAATACCACATGACTGAGACCGCCGAGATGACAACCATTCGTACCATAAACTTTGGTACAACTAATATCGGAGATGTTAAATCCATCTCAGATACTGGCTGTAACCTTAATTAACAAATCCTGAAAAAATCAGTTTAATGTTAAAACATCTAAAAACGTTTTACATGTTTGACGACTGTAAACCAAGAATTGATATAAAAGTATTTTAATAATTTCACTTATATATGTAGGGTAACCTCCATCCTAAAATTATTTGGATTTTTTATTCGTACACAACTTTCAGCATTACTGCTTTTACGGCCTTTTACGGCCAAAGTACGGCCAAAAACGTATAAAAACAGAAAAGATATTTGTGTAGAGTGTCTAGTATTATCTCCTGTGATTCCAGTACTCCATCTTTTATTTCTTCAGTTTCATTCTTGTAATCCAATTCACTGAGTTCTTCTTCAGTGATTTGTTTTACGTCTTCTTGATGCAAATTATTAAATCCTTATCCATGTAACGACTTTCCTAAATCATCAATGACTTTAATTTGATCTCTGATACCAAGCATCTACGCGTGAAACAATTTTAGGCCATATGAAGCCATACCTATACTATCATTTCTATGTACTGGACAACTCGTTGAGTTACATGCATGTAAACGTTTCCTGTCTAATACAGAATTAAGAAAAACGCGTATTACTGAACTAGCTTAAAATTAGTTAGGTACTGTTGTCCAAAGTGGAAACGCGTATAAGCGAAATAGTCTATAAATAAGCCGTTAATATTTTCCACTATAACATAATTCTTTTGTACATGAAAACCATTTATTTGTATTACAAATAATATTAAAATTCCCTATATTTTTTTAATTAATTACCCACTAATCCTTTTGACAAAAAAAAAATAATGTACGGGATATTCAAAATTCAAGCTTCATTAATAAAATCTCAGAAACTAGAAGAGATCGATTAAATTGAGAAAAAACTGCGTAATCTAATACTGACCCAAATGCCAAAAAATTAAAAGTTTAAAAATTCAGAATACTTCCAAAGATTTTAGAAGAAAAAACTTAAGACTAAAAATCCTTATAATATAGTTTCCTAGGTTAAACAATTTAGTGGAAAAAATACAATGATAAAGCTTCATTGGGAACCACGAAATTAGTGAAATAAATTAGTAGTTTCAATTATACTTTTTACTCTTATGAGTTTATCATTCATAATGTCTAAAAAATACAATTAATAACAATTGTATTTATAGAGAAAGCCTAATAATTAGCTTATAAAACAATAAACTTTTTATTTCTAACCTAAATTTCTCCTGACGGATTATAATCAAAGGCCAAAATGATATTACTCGCAAATTGTGAAGTATTATTAGTGGAAAAAGTTTTAACTTTTTCTACTAATTGAAAATTACTACCACTAATTTTGACGTTCTAAATGCTTACATTGAAATTACAGGAACAAACTTCTACGCTAATGGAACCCACTAATTTATTCCACAAATATCGATGTTCTGAACGAAGCTTGACACTGTACACCTGTGACAGATGTATATCTGGTTACATACGTGCGGAACAAGTAAATATCGTGCAAATATTGTGTTAATTACCTGACAAGGCCTGAGTCAGCAGTGGTGTGTTATTGTTCGGTGTCAGTTGTCCGTTGGTTAAGTCAACTGAAAACACAGACAGAATACAAGATTAGAATGGGCGCAAGACACGCGTGGCAGTATGGCTGGTTGCATAGAATACTAAATCAAAATAACAACAGCGTCTTTTGTCTCCTGTTAAAGTTGTTTTTAATGGGCAAACAACATTAAGTCTTCCTTGAATTCTAAAAAATCTAGTTAATTTATAAGAAAAATATCATTCCTTAAAGTACAGGGTGTTTCATTTTCGTGTGTTTTACAAAGTTCATCGTTTATGAGTAGAGCTACAAATATACGGTTTTCACATCGCTAGCTACTTTTTTATGAAACTAAAGATGTTACACACAAATTTGCGCTAGCTCTCTTAGTTCCCCTGAAATACAGAGCGAATTTAGACATTTTGCATTTTTAGACCCCCTTTGTACCTTGGTTATCTTCTAACTTAACTTATTGAAAATGTGAAAACTGTATCCCGTAGAGTTTTCCACGTAGAATTCAGTGGCGTAACTAGTTTTCGCTGAATGACTAACTGCAACTAGTTTTCACTGAAAATGACTTAAATGAAAAAAATTACTTAAACTTGTGATAAAAGTTTCATAAAAAGTAGTATTAAAGAAAGTAGTAAGCACCTGGTGTATATCTACTCATAAACTAGAAACCCCATAAACACGGGTAAATGAACCACCCTGTAAGCTATGTAAGTAATGATAATATTTCAAAAATTTTGTGCTAAAATGTGTAACACTGTTGTTAGCTCAAAAATTTAGCCCTAATTGAACTGTCACCATTTATAACAAACTATTTTTTCTATTTTGTTTTAATAAATGGACCTTTTAATAGAAAAAAAACCTGTTTATTATTTTGACCAAGTAACATTGACATTTATTTTTATTTTTGTGAGTGCAGTAGTATTCGATGTTTTTTTGAGAATTTGACATGACGTGAATTAATAGATTTTTATTTTTTTCCGAAAAATAAAGTAAATACACATAGATTAGTGCATGCCATTTTAGTATAACCTATATTAACTAAAAGTCATCACTCATTTTTTTCATATCTATTAATATTTTTTTATTTTGTTTTATTTTTTATATTACAGGGCTACGGTACACTAAAAATATTGAACATAAAAGTTAGGGTTAAGGAACACTAAGTTATATAGGTATTCTAGATTAATCTAATCTATCAAGATAGTTAAGTTAGTTATACATATACCGTATGATCGAAAAAAAAAACAGCGTCAAAGACGGCTGGGGAATGATAATCGATTATAATTTTGCCGAGGTTAATCTCTACACGTCCTTGCCTAAAAATTGACATAAAATTTATGAAAAATTAATACTAATTATAGAAAGATTAAAAAAGGATAGAATGTTTCCAGATACATTTCCCAGATACATTTAAAAATAATTTTTAATCAATATAAAAATGAATTACAAAATTCTTAAGACCATGCAAAAAAAAGTACAAACCAAGTAAATGACATCTAGGGCTTCAACTCGCCAAAATTATGATCGATTGCTATTCCTCAGCCGTTTTTGACACCGTTTTTATCTTCATCATACGGTATTTGTGTATTAGTGTGTCATAACGTGAAGACAATACTAAAATTGCCTGCACTAATGAAAAATAATATATATTTAAAAAAAACTCATTGGATTTTTTTAGTTACAACAATGAAAGAAATTAAATATTCCTATTTATGTACAGGGTGGGTCAAATTCGACGCTTTAAAATGGAAACACCCTTTTCTATAGGAGATAGATAAAAACTAATATCGGTGTCTGGAGCTCAATTTTGGTCAAAAACATGATGGTGAAAACCGCATATCGATATCTGTTACCGTTTTTAAAAAATATGCATTTTTAACAAATCGCTGTAACTTTTTGCTATGGAAAATTCTGTATTTTTATGAAAACATTTCCAAAGCACCTTTTTACGTAATTTAATGGTTTAAGTATAATTTTTTTAAAATTAATAATTTAAGAATTATCAACAGAAAATTTGATTTTTTATATGGGACAACCTGTATATTTTTAATTTATTGAAAAGAGTTCAAAATTACCTTTCCAAAAATATAACACACTTGATATTTTGCTCGATTCCTCTTCGAGATATAGAGTATATAAAAATTCGCCCGGCTTTAAATAAGTAGGCTTTGAACGGCACCGGCTGTAATGCAAAAAAATCTAGCTGTGAGCATCAATTAAAACGAAAATAATATTTGCTACGAGAGATGCAGAATTTTATAACAATTTAAAATATATTTATCCAACAACAACACATTTAAATAAATAGCAAACCAAGATATGAGATTTTGCTACGGGCGTTCGACATATCGACCGTCTTCTGTTATGGACAGACGGGGTAGTTTTTGAACATTTCTCGCCGAATTCATTAACTCAGTGGGGGTGAAAGATACCCTCTCATAACTGCTAAGTATTTTTAATTCTTGTCTAGATTATACGGAAGAATAAGGAACATTTATTCTTCCGCCAATATATCCATAGGATTAGATCCATGGGCACTAAGTCAGGCGGCCTCGAAGGCTAACGGCTGGGATCTTGGTTAGCTATTCTATTATTCTTGAAATTGGCTGTAAAAATTTGCGGATAACTTCAGCGTTCAGAGGCGGTGCGTCGTCTTGCTGGAAAAATATGTTTTCCAGTTCCATTAAGGGCACATCATCAATAAGGGGTCCAAAGCCTACTAGTTAAAAGTGGCGAACTTTTAAAAATTCTGTATTTCAAAGGAGATTATAACAAAATATCAAATGTGCTATATTTTTGGAAAGGTAATTTTAAATTCTTTTCAGTAAATTAAAAATATAGAGGGTCTCTAAAATAAAAAATCAATTTTCCTGTTGATAATTCTTAAATTATTAGTTTAAAAAAAAATATACTTAAACCATTAAATTCTACGTAAAAAGGTGCTTTAGAAATGTTTTCATAGAAATACAATATTTTCCATAGCAAAAAAGTTACAGGGATTTGTTAAAAATGCACATTTTTGAAAAACACCCCGTAACTCCGAAACGGTAACAGTTATTGATGTGCGGTTTTCACCATCATGTTTTTGAAGAAAATTGAGCTCCAGACACCGATATTAGTTTTCGTCTATCTCCTATAGAAAAGGGTGTTTCCATTTAAAAGCGTCGAATTTGACCCACCCTGTACAGTATAAAGAGTATTATTTTTTCTGTTTTTTTTTGCTTTTATTTTTCTGCATCTAGTGCCCCAGGTTTATGCTTATTTTCATAGAAGTTTTGCAATGTTGCCACCACATTCTGCATATTTTTGTGTTTATAAGTTTATAGTAATTTTTTCATTTTCTGCAGAATAAATTCAAAAATATATATTTTTATCTTACAAATTACTCTACTAATAATTATATTAGAAAAATGCAATGTACACATATTTTAACTATCTTTTATTATTATATTTTGAAATAAATTAAAAGAATAAAACTTAAAAATTGTTATAGATTTTTTTAGTGCCATATTACGAAGTATTTTCACACACAGTAAGTGTATAATTTCTGTTCGATGTGGCAACACAGGGGCTAAATTCTGCGGTGGAATTTTGTAACTGTCCACGGAAATTTCTTGCTAGTGACTTACACTTGCTCGGCTTTCTTATAGAAAATATTTAGTCCATCATACGACAATCAAACTATAGGTGCCAAAAATATCATATAGTTTATTTGTTTTGATATTGAAATTCTGGGCTATGCACTATGGTCTGAATCATTTTGTAAATAAAATTTAGAATGTAGTGACGGTGACAAAATATCGATATACTCATCAATGTTTTGCATAGAATATACCATATGACCCAAAAAACGTCGTCCAGTTGGCTTGAAATTGACGATCGATGACATTCCTTATATAATCTTACATATAAAATGACAGCGATCTTTATTTGAAAGCTTTCGCTGCCGCCATATTTTTCGATCATATTGTATATGCTTGTTGATAAATAAATGCCGGGAAGTGTCGAGTTAGCTTAAAATTAATGATGGCATGATATTTTACACGCAAAATTATATTGTGAATGTTATCGACCATTCCCAAGGTAATTTGCGCTCTTTGTATTTTGATTGTAGATATTTAAGAAATACCAATGAATTTTAAATTTTACCATCATTATAGCAAGACCTTTTAACATCTGTCTTGCCGGTCTATCTAGCCGAACACCGCGTTCGGGTCATGATAGTTTCCGAATAACCAATCAATAAATTTCTCGAAATTTTTTGATTGGTTGGGATAAAAATATCAGTCGGCCAATTATATTATACATCCTAAAAATGTCATAAGAATAATGAGTCACTAGCAAGAAATTTCATATTACGAGCTTACAGAATCCCACCTCTGGTTGATACCTACGGTTTTCCTGTAAACATTTTTTTTTAATTTTCAGAATTAAATAACTGTGTTGTTTTAAATTTATTTTAAAAATGGCAAATAGAAAATAAGTTTCTTCCTTGATAAGATCTAACTTATTTGTAAGACACCCTGTATACAGAATAAGTGTATACAGTGGACCTGTAATACAGTGATATAAGTGCACATATTTTCGGAACTCTGGATAAAAGAAGTGTATATTTTTAACCGTCAAAAACGTATTAATTTTTGCAACGTGATTGACAATATAAAAAAGTCATTTTAACGTCTTGCATAAAAGTAAAGCACTTTTATGACTAAGCTTAAAAGTACGAAAATATATTATTAAACTGACATAAAGTGTGAAATTCAACGAGCGTAACCATAGTTTCTCGATATACAGGGTGGCGCCTCTCATACGCCGCGGATGCTCCAAGGAGAACGGTAGTTTATATCGAAATGAAATTTTAGCAGCACATGTAGGTTAACTGAAAGCATTTTATAAAAATATATAGAATTATACAGGGTGTCCCCAAAAAAAGTTACACATCAAAGTTGTGTTTTTTCTAATGGAACACCCTATATATTAATTGATTTTCGGATTCTAGGAAAAAAATGAAGGTTAGAAGGTTAGTAAAAATAAAGA